TGATCTACTCTAGGGGATCCTGCTCTAGCAATGGGGTTGGACTAGATGATGTCTAGAGGTCCCTTCCAACCCCCACCACCCCGTGAATCTATGAAGCTTGAGCCTCCCTAGACTGTCAGAGAAGCAGATGCTGCTAACACACAGCTAACAACTACTAGTTACTAGACTAATCAACCAGGAGTTAGGGACTCGGAAACAACGAGAGCTATTTAGACAAACAGATGAAGCCTTGATGTAAATTAGCATAGCTCCACTGACTCCTGCATGTGCCACTGTCACACTGTTTGACTGCCATAAAGCTGTGTCCTGGCAATACAAAAAAGAACGTGGACATTACGAAAAGATTCTTGTCTGAGAGGGTGGTTGGTCACTGGAACAGGCTCCACAGAGAAGTGGTCACAGCACCATGCCTGTCAGAGTTCAGGGAGCATCTGCATGACATTCTTAGTGATAAAGGTTGGGTTTAGGTAGTCCTCTGAGAATCAGGGAGATGTTCTCAATGTCTGTTAAGGGTCCCTTCAAATGAGGTATTTTATGATTCACAGCACACTAGTGGTATTGCATCAGTCTGTATTAGAAAAAATAAATACTACCCTATGAGGTAAGCCCTTCCTACACATTGAGCCCAGACTCAAGTCTAAAAACAAGACGGAAGGAAAACAGCTTTATTCTTCCCCTTCTCTGTTCCCAGGTTCTTTGTTTAACTGCTACTAGAGCTGAAGAAAAGAAGGGAGGAAGGGGAGGACTCAGACAGGTCCCATCCACACCTATGTTTCAGCATCAGCCAAGCAGAAGGAGCGAAACACTGAAAGGCAATGAGGAGCAGGTTCTTAATAATAAAGAGGAGGCAACAAAACTCGGGGAGCTTGGTGCTCAGGACTTACAGTCTAAAAAGGAAGGAAGTTAGGGCTTTCACGTGCAACACAGCACTACACAGAGAAGCGTTACACATGAGGTATAATGCTCTCGGGCTGGGCGTATGGTATCTCCCTGATCTTTGCACCACTCGCTGCTGTGGCTGCAGCCACCATTAACCTGATTTTGCTACTTGGATTGCTAAAAGAACACAAGCTTTTGTGCTAAGTTGGAATGAGAATCTATTGTTTGGTCCGAGGCATCAAATTACTGAGATGAAGTCATTCACGGGCTATTTCTTTCCCCTTTAGCTGCTTTGACATAAATTCCCTGTCACCAGTGGAGTTTCAGCTGTCAGCTCTCTGACTGGATCCAGTGACACTACTGAAAACAGTAGGGTTTATATTCTCCTCCTTTTCTTTCCACTCATTAACTTTTTCCTCATTTTCTTTATTGCCATTTCACTTACAGATGAGCTGGCTTAGTTCAGAAAACTCTGAACTTAGTTCAGAAAACAGCACAGTACAAAACATCATGGGCACTCATTCTCCCTTTGGACTACTCCACAAATAAGAGCCTTTTGATGTCTGGATAGTCATTCAGATACATACACGGTATTAGGTCTTTCTACAGCTGGTCCTGACCTAGTATCAAGGTTCAATTCTGATTGTATTCATTCCAGCAACTGTGATGAACTCCTTGCTTATTAACATGAGGTTCTCATTTAAATTGAGCTGAACACATAGATCTGCCTGTTAATGATTATTTTCTTTCCCCTTCTCTTTTTTTTTTTTTTTGGTACAAAGCTGAAACAATCAGGCTTATCCACAAATCAGGAATAAGAGGAAAGAGCATATCTAAGCCACCTTCTTATGCACTCCTTGATCTGATGGAACATACCCAAGCTTGGTGCTTCATAAGGCGGCAGCTGGCTTTGGGTAGTCGGAAAGGAATCACCATCTTCTCTCCTTCAAGCCCTTTCCCCTTTCTAATATATTCCTGTATGGGCAATACATGGTGAAGAATCACCTCCTTCAACTTAAGGCCTTTGTAGGCCTTTAGGGCCTAAGCAAGCAAGACTCAACCCCTAGCTCTTTAGATTGGATTATTGGCCATGCTGCACATCCCAACCAGGAGCAGAAGAACGTATTCTTTGTACCAAATCCTCAGTGGGGGGGAATCACAACATGAGAAGGTGCCTATGGTTCTTATTTCCTACCAGGACATGGGTTATTATTTAAGTTGCAAGTGTCTGGAAACATGACATCTATACATGTGTGCTGTAACAAACAAATATACATAAAAATCCTTCTCAAAGGGCCCAATACTGTTTTTTACCAGTGATTGTGATTTTCTGGACCAAAAGTAAGTTCCTATTTGCAAAAAACTGCATTAGACCATGTTCACATGCCCTTTCTAGCAGCTTCTCTGAATGTCCCATTCCTGGTTTAACTGAAGGTAACGCTGCAATTCGGCTGATCGTCTCAGCTGGGACAGCCTACAGCAAAGCCCACAGAAGCCAACTAATTGTGCCAATTAGGCACTTTCAACAAGATAAAAATTGAAAACTAACTTTGCTTTGGGATATTTAGCACTTGGACACAATACATACGATGAAACAAATAAAAATTTTCATTATTATTATGGAAACATGGACTAAATATGTCTTGAAGGTCATTGTAGCACATGGGACTGCTAGACATATTCTGCTGTAATCAGAGAAAGATGACAAAGGCATTGAGTTGAAATTTAGACTATTTGGGTTTGCTTCATAGCTCTCCCACAATCTCCCAGTGCAACCTATGCAAGGCACTTAGTTTCACTGTGCTGCAGCTCCCCATCTGTCTAATGAGGATGATAATACATTCCATTTGTCTTATCTATTTAGATAGTAAGCTCTACTGGTCAAGGACCTCCTCCTCTTACCAGGAGTTTTATTCAGAATGAGCATCCGGATTTCATGGGCTGCCTACAGGGGATACTCTAATACAGATAATAAATAGCATAATCCATCATGGTTTAATGCCTAGAGCAGAGATTTTTAACCTGGACTGTCCGCGGAATAATGACCTTTTTCAGTGAAGGCATACAAATGCAGATTTCTGCTAAACATGTATGAAAGGCACTGAATTCAGGTAATTTAGCTCCACAAACATAGATCTTAAGCAATTAGCTTAAAAGACAGTATTTACACAGACACATAGGGATCAGCTAGGTCAACATTGGAGCATCCAAGAGAGAAAAGTACTTCATCAGACATAACTTTCTTTAGCACAGAGCAATGGCATGTGCACATGTACACACAGCACCTGTCTGAAGTCAGTGGGATGATCAAGTCATCATAACTGATCATGCTAGAGTGGTGCAGCGAGCTGGTGCCTCGTCTTCTGCAAGGACCTGCCCTTCCCTGAACAGGACACCCATTGCAATGGGGTTAAGAGCAGTCAAGCTAAATGTTTTGCTAAAATTCATGAAGATGATGGATACGGCTCATAGCTCTGATGGACATTAGACCTGTAACACATTTGAAAAGGTGAAGGGAGCAAAAGCAGGTTCTTAATTCTGTTTCTAGATAGCCTAAAGAGATTCGGAGTACAGCTAGGTGATCCTGCAAGGCAGGATTAAATACCTATGAAAAAAAATCAGTCAAAGTCCATAAACTACTATTCTCAAGTCACACTCTTAGTTTATTACCTCTGTCACCTGTTCAGGACAGTGACCCAACCGACCAGAAGAAAACTTGTCATGTTTTAATTACAGCTGAGTTTGTAGCACAGGGACCTTTGTTATACAATCCTGAACAACAAGAACAGCAAAAATGTCAAAGGAACCTTACTGAAGCAAGAAAACATCGTTTGCCTGCTTCACTCATCAATTTGCATCTACATTCAGATGCAAGATGACACACACCAGGTTGTATACTTATTTCAAGAAATGCTAGTTGCTCTGATTTCCCTAGGGAAATCTCATGATGGAAAAGTTTATCTTCTTCCACGCTGTAGCTGGAGCAAGGAAGAATCATTGTAAATATCCATTCTTTGTTCACCAAGATCTGAGAATGGCAGCTGCACAACTCACCCCAGCTGTGTATTTTCGCAGAACACATAGGATGGTTGAGGTTTCCTTTTAATTTCTTTTTTTCATGCTCCATTTTACATTTTCATATTATTCTATTCCTCTGGATGCACAGAAATGGGAATGGGCCTGTTTCTTAAGAGATTAATGAGGCATTGTCCTGGCTATACATTGCCACTGAGTAAAGAACATCTGCCAGCTCCTTAGTTGGTGGACACAAGGTAAGTCCCTTCAAGCCAGTAAAACTGTGAAACCTGAGGCTACCTACTCTATTCAGAGTGCTAAGATGGATCATTCCAGGCTATTGCACACAGCTGTGCAAAAATCTCTACAAATTAAACTTTACTTATGCATTCAACTGCCTTTCTCCACCTGTCCTCTGCTACTTAAAACACTTTGTGTGTCCTCCTTTCTTTCAAAACAAAGTGGCAAATGCCAAAGGTGAGCAATTTGTGTAATTTATACTGAACAGCACAGATCTTTCTATCCAGAACTTCAGATCATCAGTCCTGCTAGGGTAAACATTTGGAGTAGATAGCTACCAAAGCTGGAAAAAAGAAACCCACCAACCTCAAGGGTACACTGCAAAAGGTGTCTTCACAAACCTCTCCCTCTTCTCTGAAGAGTTCAAGGAAGCCCACACTACCACTAGCCCTTTCCTTCTTGCAGGTCTTATCCTTCAAGGACAGGTTAAAAGCAGAGTCAGGAATGATCTAACAGCACCTCAGAGCTATCAAAGACAGATTCAAACATGACCCACATCTCAACCATGTCACAAGGGCCACTTCTGTTGAAATACAAGACACTGTGTAACACAGAATCACAGAATGCTTTGGGTTGGAAAGGAACTTAAAGCTCATCCAGTTCCAACCCCCCTGCCATGGGCAGAGACACCTTCCACTAGACCAGGTTGCTCCAAGCCTCATCCAGCCTGGCCTTGGACACTCCCAGGGATGGGGCATCCACAGCTTCTCTGGGCAACCTGTCCCAGTGCCTCACCACATGCATTGAAAAAGGACCAGCACCTTAAGACAGCAAACACTGCAAGGGCATAGTGGCTTAATACTCACACTCAGCAGGAGGCACTTGTTCTCTTTGATGGCACCTATGCAGCCCACGAAGCCAATGATCATGACAAATGTTCCTGTGACGATCAGTAGGTTGGCAGCCGACAAGGATGGGAAAGAAGAGGAGAGGGTGGCAAAGTTCCCTTGGGTAACAGCCAGCCAGATGCCTACTCCAAGGATTCCACAGCCTCCCAACTGGAAACATAAAGAAAAACAAAGAACCTCAGTTATTGTATCCAAGCAACCCCAGATATTAATCCATATTAATATGGCAGTAATATAACAGCTCTGTGGGGGTAAACCAAGCAGTCACACCAAATAAGAAATGATCTCTCCCTATGGCACTTTCAGTGGGAAAACAAAGGAGAAAGAAAAAAAATATAGACATCAGTAAGATGCAACACTCAAGAAGACCACCCAGATTTCCTAAATCCAAGACACAAATTAAAATACCAGGTCTCTTCCTCCCCAGTGAAAGAGCAGACAATAAGGAGAAATTCCTAAGGATTCAGATCTCAAGGGACTGAAAAAAGTCTCTATCCTATCTAGGTACAACAGAGAGCTGCCCAGAATGGCCAGAGCACTTTCCAACCCCTGCTCTTCCCATCCCAATACACTGTCTCCTATCCCTGGCAAAAGCCATAAACTAATGTTGCCTGAGCATCCCCTGGTAGGACACCTCACTCTTCTTAGTTCCTGCCCGAGGTCTAGCCTCCCTTGGAAGTGAGAGAATATTTAGAGAGTGTAAAGAGGCCAGAGAGGGAGGGAGAATCCTCACGTAATATTAACATAAACAATCACATGTTTACTCCTAATATGGCCACTGGTTTGGTAATTCAATCCTCAGAGGAGGACTCGGCTGGTTTAGGAAAAGTTTGAGAGGGGAGCAGTAGTACAGGCTTCCCAGGCATGTGAGCAAGGAGAAGGGAGAATGTCAGTGCAGGCAGCAGCCACCACAAAAACATAAAAGTTATAATTATTATATACACAAGGAACTTTTAAAAAATGCAAACATTTATAAGCATGCTGCTTATAATGGCAAGAAAGCCTGCAGAATTATAACAATCTGAGTAAAGCTGAGCAATTAAATAGAATTAAACCAAAGGGGATTTTGCATTATTATATAGTCACACAGCAGAGCATCACTTAGGTTTCTTTCTTCCCTGCTCTCCCTTTAAAATAACCAATTTTTATTCAGTTTTATAATTGCACTTTATTATTCAAATCAATTAAAGGCTAGGAAAGAAACTGTGTTCATAGAGTAGGCAGCCAGACAGAGGAGCATATCAATTAAATGTCTGCATAAAGTGGGTGAATGTAAGGCAGCTCATGAACCAGGGAAGCAAAAAGACAGAGCTAATCCTGGGGCAGAGCTAAGTCTCAGAAATAAAACACACAAGAGAAACACAAAAGCTAAAGCAATTTCAAGCAATTTCTCAGTACTAATTCCGGAGGTTGGCTCTGAATGCCGCCGAATTCCCCTTCAATAAGGGACAATGAAGGTGGCTGTGTCTCAAGGCAGGACTCCTCACCTCAGTAGCAAACCAGTTTATTTTGCTCAGAACCAAGGAGCCAAACTACACCGCGTTATAATGTACCTCAGCTGCGTGAACCTGCGTGTCTCCACGGAGAGGAGGCAGGCTTCAGGACACAGGGACTCTAATCATTTCATTCCGCAGCCTTTTGATAGACAGGCATCCCATATCACCATATTTATCCTTTTGCAAAGTTCCCTCCACAAGCACCAGGAAGGGACAGTCCGTGTCCTGCCCACATACCCTGGAAATACCTCCCCTCCACAGCCACTTATGGGCCATGGTCTGTGATGATCCAAGGACAACCAGGGGAGAGGAGGGGAGAGAACACTTAAAGAAAAGAACCCATAGAAAATCATTTAGGGTAACTGAGGGGATATAAACAAAAGTAATCAACATGGCCCAAGAAAAAAAAAGAAGTAATAAATTCCCTAAAAGAGGAATAAAACCCTGAAAGTCCCCAGGACTATAAAACAGCATCGAAGGAGAGGTGGCAGACACCCAAGTTAAAACCGCACCGGCCAGAACACTGAAGCACAGGCAGGAACAGCACTAAACCAGCCGAGGAGCAGGATGGGAATCACAGCCGCACCTCTGCCCCCCAGCTTGGTGGATGTTCTGCCCCCAAATCAGCCTTGGAGCCACAGGCACAGAGAGGCCACACAAACGGCCCAATTAAGCCTAACGAAGGCAGACGCCCAGCAGCGGCAGAGGCATCACCTTGCCATACGTTTAGCTATTGCCTTCAGTGCTTTGTTCCGAAGCAATTCAACAGCACCAATAAGAGGCAGCTCACTTTATGAACTCTCGTGCTCTCCGCGTTGCTAGGCTGAGCGATGCCAACACCAACAACTACCACTGGTATTACGGGAGGTGGGCCTCGCCGAGGGCACTGCTGTGTTCGGTAAACCTGCTTGCCTGCTCCTCCATCACCCATCACATTCTTTATGACGTACAATACATAATACTTCAGAATCCAGCATCTTCTCCCTCCAAAGTCATCCTTGGCTGTAGAAACTGCGAATTCACCAGTGGCACAAAACATCCTAAACCTGGGAGATGTTTTGTGCAAAACGCTGTGGCTGTACCCACTTAGGTCAGTTGGTCAGCAGGAGTGTCTCACTGCATCACCCTTGATTCAGAGACACTCTAACACACATCAGGCTCTCTAGCAGCTCATTATCTTCCTACCCTGAAGAGAGAACGCACAGCTCTTCCTTAGGTTGATTAACCCGACCCTGGAATGCACAGAGGGATCCTTTGAGCGTTAAACCCTCTGGCTCGAACTGGATTTCACAAAGTGCCACTTCGGAAACGCCAGCACATGCTACTGAGGGCTGCTCCACCTTGGTTCAGCCCCGTTACGTTTCCCACACCAGAACGTCCCCTCACGGTTCCTGAATAAAGGTCACTAAGCTGTCACACTGGGCCCTGAGAAGCTGCCCTAAGTCTGGTCTCACAGGCTCTCTCAAACCCCCTTTCCACCGAGGGGTGAAGCACGCCTGGAAGTCTCCAGCCAACGACCATCGTAACATTCAACTGCAGGAAACGCTTAAGGGAACCAAGACCCACCAAAACAGCCACAAAACCTTTCAAACAGCAGCAGAATACTTTCTGTTCCCAAACATTCAAAACATTCACTTCTCACCCTCCCACACCTCCATTCTGAACTGAACAGCAGTGTAATTCCCACTCTAAGATCCAGGCATCAGAGGGATCAAGTTGATTTATTCTGGATCAGAGCGAAGGGAAAGCTGTTGTGGTTGGCTCTATTTTGCATTTCTGTTTTGATTTCTTTATCTTGGCATAGAAGGAACTGTGAAGTTACGGATAATTTTACTTAGTTATTTACGACGTTCCCTTTCCTCCACTTTTTCTCCCCATACCCCACCCCAACCCCCAGACCCTGTTTGTGCCAGTCAGAAGAGTGATGAGTCGATAAGTCCTGACAGCTTCCAGGGCTTGCCAGAACGTGAAATTAAACAAACTCAAACCCATTAACAGGGCTACTCTTGACAATTTGGGGCCTTCCATGCAAACAGCAAAGCTGTCAGGGGTAAAAGAGAAAACGTCAAAACTAAATTATTAGTGAGAAGCCTACAGCTTCAGCCCGAGCTATTGGCAGTCAAAGATGAGTCTGTATTGACTCCATGTGGTGAACGTAGGGTTGACTTTGTAAAATAAACCAAAAAAAAAAACCCCACAACGCCAAACACCCCTCAAAGACGTCAGGCTACTGACACCAGCATGTTTTTATTCCCTCTGTGTTTAACACACGATTTGACTAACTGTTCATGATAATCCACCCTCTCGCAAGCAAAGCAGCTCGCAGCAAAACCTGAACCAAAATGCATCTTCCTTGAATATTTCCCCCCACTCCCCACCCCCCATAAATGCGGCATTTCTTTGTAAAATGCAAGAAGGCTCTGGGAAGACCTTACAGCACCTTCCAGTACCTGAAAGGGCTACAAGGAAGCTGGGGGGGACTTTTTACAAGGGCCTGTAGTGACAGGACAAGGGGTAACGGGTTTAAAATGAAAGTGGGGAGATTCCGATTAGATATCAGGAAGAAATTCTTCCCGGAGAGGGTGGGGAGGCGCTGGGACAGGTTGCCCAGAGAAGCTGTGGATGCCCCATCCCTGGAAGTGTCCAAGGCCAGGCTGGATGAGGCTTGGAGCAACCTGGTCTAGTGGAAGGTGTCCCTGCCCATGGCAGGGGGGTTGGAACTGGATGGTCTTTAAGGTCCCTTCCCCCCCAAACCATTCTATGATTCTAAAATCTTTTATTCTAAGGCCAAAACCAGAAGAGATAGTGTCATAGCCCAAGAATTAGGAGATTTAAATGTCTGTTCCAGGACAGATGTAAATCTGGGACGGGCCATTTAGCATGTCTCTGCCTCGGCTGCAGAATCATAAATACAAAGACACTAGTAGTGGGTTCTTTGCAAGCCCTGAATTTTGCAATTGGCTGTAGAAGCAGCAGCTTGTTCTACTCAAGACAAATTGCTCAAAGTCATTTATACAGCCGAGTAAAGCAGTAAAGCGGGTGGCTTACTCTAGAAGGATAGATTCAGTCTGTCTCCTTCCCCAAGAGATAGAGAGACACATGTGCAGTCGGTCTCTTGCGGAAAAACTGCCTACGGAATTAGATCCTCCAAATTGTTCTAATGGGCTAGAAAATAAATTATTCAGACTTCAGTGCATACATTTAGAAATGATCTTACAGTATGGTAAACAAAGTAAACCCGAACAGCCCCAGATATATGCATGTTGTTGGAGAAAATAATTCTGAAGTTACAGCTACACACTCGAAATACTGCAGGAGAAATGGCCTCATTGTTCACGATAATAGTGTTGTGTCTTAAAGTGGGTTGTTTTATTGGGTTTATTGCACAGAAAATGCATCTAATTGAGGCTTCTCATACTGTATCTGATTAGGATCTACCCATCACACTTTCACATTTAGATTAAAAAAATAATACCTCATATATTAAAAAACCCACTGATAACAGAATCCAAGGGGAAGGTATGACCAGCTGTTCTGTTTTTAAACTAACTTAGATGGAGGGTTTTTCCTCCCACAGTCTCCACATATTTAAACTAGAAGGGCTTTCTCAAACCCACTTGCCATCCAGTTACTCTTGTTTGAACATGCTTCCCC